TACATGATTGTGATCACACATACATTCTACAGCTACCTTTCTGCTGATTTCTGATCTCATAGTGCTACAGCCATAAAATTAAACTGATTTCTTTACCACTTCTCTACAATTTCTGCAGCTTAGTGGATTAAAATAGTTTTTTTTAATTATAAAATTAATTAATTAATGTGGTTTCAAAATAAACTCATTACAGGTTCAGAAATTCCTGATGCATTTTAGTTAAGAAAAAAACAGTGTCACCTTTCCCAGATTATTTCTTGAATTTTTCCTAGATTATTTCTTGGAGGTGATTTACATTTCAGTTTGCAGGTGTTACCACTGCATATAAAATACTTAATTCAATTCCATATTAATGAACTTGTAAATTAAGATTAGTTTTCTTTTTTTAAAAAATGGTAAGTTTAAAGGAAAAAATGAAATGCTTTTTAAAAAAAATATTCTTTTAATTTTTCCAAGAATTCTAGACAGAATGAATATAAAATACTAGAAAAACATTCTCAGTTTTGATTTCCTTGATTCATAGTACTATATTTCCCCAGGATACCTAAGTGAAAATAAGACCAAATTTAACTTTCCTTTCATTGAATCTTTGGCTTATATGCCTTTATGCGTTTGTGGAAGGAAAAATAGAAACACATTGGAAATGCTGACGTTGCAGATTGAGCTTCTTATTCTTTGCAATTCACCTTGCTTGGAGTTCATCCCTACTTCCTAAGGAATTCAAGGTTATGTTTACCCACACAATTGCCCATGTAGATATACTCAAGGATTCTGAGGAAAGAGACTGATTTTTATTATTGAAAAATTAAGGAAAGAGCGAGTGAGATCTTCACATAAGCAATTATTTACAAGAGGGAAGAGAGACCCAAAGGGCCTCATTAGAAAGTTGAGTGGAATCACTGATACTCATGATCTCACTTTCTCTTTGTCCCAGGGGATTCAGTCACTTGTATTTCAAATTCTCCCTACTGGATTTGAAACAATGAAAATGTTTTGAGTGAGTTTCATTAATATGCACATGGCAAAATTAGCTCTAGTATTTTTCCGTCTTGGAGAAAGACAGCAGAAGAACTGATTTTTACCCCCCAGCAGTTCTACTGACATATAATTCACATGCCATACAATTCAGTAGTTCAATCATATCAAGGAGAGTTGTACAATTGTCATCATAATCAATTTTAAAACATGTTCTTCATTCATGTACTCATCAATATTAACCCCCCATATCTGTCCCATCTCCCCCGTCATGCCCTTAAGGAGCCATTAGTGTAATTACTGCGTATATGGGTTCATCTTTTCTGGATTTCATATATAGAAAACACTGAAAAATAAACTAACAAGGATAACCAAGTAAAACAGATAAAAATTTCAATCAAACAGAAAACAGAAACTATTAAAAACTAGAACAAATTTAACTGGATCATAAAGGGATTCCAATTATAGGGTGCTAAATTTTAACCTAATTGGCCCTGCAATATTCCCCATGCATTCTGTATGTTAGAAAAGTTATTCACATCCCTAGTTCATCATCAGAGGGTATTCACTGGGGGCCTAATCCCCGTGCATTTCTCTTCACTTAAAAAAAAATTATGTGTATTGCTCTTCACATTTAATTGAAACAGCTTTAAATTGGCTCAACAAGGGGATCAAATCATAAGATATTACATTTTAATCTAAGTCAGTCATAATGGGCTTTACAATACTCTATCTGATAACAGAGCCATTCTCAACCTTCAGCTATGATTGGGGGGATTCAACTAAGGCTAAATAACCGATTCTTGTTCAGAACAAAAGTGAATTAAACATATTCTCAAGCATTCATTTCTTTTCCCCTGTTAGGTCATCATCAAAGCCACTTGAGGGAAGCAAGATATCAATTGGCACTTGTAACCATTCAGAGCCACTATCTACTAAATTCCTTCTCCGATATGTGCTGGGCATGTTAAATGGCAGCACTGTCCCTGCAGGGAAGATCCGTAAATACTATTTAGCTGCATTGCTGGGCTCTTTTTTAAAGAGATTTTCCTTTCTCCATGGAGAGAGTCTTGGTCTGTGAACTGCCTCAGATCTGGATCCTGAAAAAGAGACTATACATCCCCACTATGCTTATTCCAGCTAAATCTCTACCACTATACTTAGAATCTTTTAATGAATTACAAATAATGTCTTTGTAGGCTAACTACTTACCTCATTTTAGGAATTCTGCAACATAAGCATCATCAAAGATTCCTATAGCTCCAAACGCTCCAAATGCATACCTTAATTGTGGCAATTTCTCCAACTTTGTCTTTGATGGTTAAGTGTCAGGTCCTATGGTCCAAGTTTTCCAGGGCATCTTTATTACAGACACAGGCAATCCACATTCCCTGCTGCATCTCTCATCATCATCTCTGCCTCAGAGAAGTCAGACATCAAGTAATTCTAAAATTCGGATGCACTCCTCACCAGCTCATTTCTTAAATGCTTTAGAGAATTCCAAATTTCCTCTCTTCTTGATTTCTTATTCTATAATGTGGAAGGGAAGGCCCAGCATTCAAGCTTCATTGATTGTAGACCACCACTGAGTTCAAGCTTCAGTTAGCCACTGTAGAAGACCATTGACGCCACCTTTTGGATGTTTTCTGTGCTCATAATGAGAGTCCTCAAGTCAACAAATTCAGATCATTTGGGCAGTATATTGGAAATTCCTTAACATCTATTCCCAGACATACTTTTAAATGTTTGCTAATATAAACTTTCTACAACTGTGTTATTTTGCCTTAACATCTATTCCCAGACATACTTTTAAATGTTTGCTAATATAAACTTTCTACAACTGTGTTATTTTGGAGTAATCGACTATGGTCTAATGGAGCAGTATTTGTGAGAGGAAATGGTAGAAGCAAAAATTATCCATGAAAAAGTGTGTATTTTTTGTGATTATAATTTTGATTATAATTATAATTATTATAAAGTTGAGCAAGTTTTCATGGATTGGCCATTTGGATAGTCTCTTTTTTAAAGTGACTATTTGTATTTATATATTCTGAGTAGGAACATGTATTGGATACACACAAACACACACACAGACACTCTTAAAGGACTATTAGATTAACAGATGTTCTAGTTTGTTAAAGTATGATTTCATCATATTGTCTTCATGTGATTAATAATTTTCTTTCTATTTAACAAATCTCTTCCTATTAAATAGTCATGAATACCACTAAAAGCTATATTGCTTTATCTTTCCTAATTGTATCTGCACTCCACTTGAAAACGATCTTTTTATATGAAGCAAGTAATTTCTCCTTCCTATGGATATCTCTTTGACCTGGAACCATTTATTGAAATAAACCCCCATTCCCTACTGTATTGCAGTATCTTAATATTGTATCACATTTGGATGATTAATTATGTTTTATAAACAACTCTGTTCTGTTGAATTCATCATTGCGTTTATTCTTTATCATTTGGACTGAGAATTCATTCATCATCAACTTAAGGATAGATGCTTGAATACCCAGTTTCCTATGATTATTTGTTTTAATGTGAATGAGTGTTGAAATGTTTTCTCTGAATTTCTTATGATTATCACATTACTTTTCAATTGTAGATGGTCAGTGTTATGGGTTATATTAACAAAATAATGTGGTTCTTAATTTTCAAATGTTAATAGAACTGACACGGTTGAAGTAAACTTGTTTGTAGTATATTTTACCCCAAAGTTTTAGAATTTGATTTGCTAATGTTTGCTATAGATTTTTGAGTAATATGGGTAATTTTTTTCCTTCTTGCAATATCTTTAAAGGTTTTAATTAAACATTATGTTTTCCTTATGGAAAGATTTAAAATGTCACATTCATTTAATACCAAATTAACAAAAAAAATTTATGAACAGAAACATTTGAGACTAAAGTGGACTTTCAACATAGTAACTATAACCATTGTATCCAGTTTACATCTATATTTTATTTTGCCAATCAAGAAACTCTAGATTCACACACATAATAGCTATAATGGAATATATATTAGTCATATTCATTTCTATATTATGGATATTGAAAAGTAGGCAGAAATGATAGATGTATTCAGGATGTGCGCAAAAAATATTTACTCCCAATAGGAACAGATTTGTCTATCATAGGTAAAATTTTAAAACTAGAATATTGAATTTATGCATTTTATGTCACAGAGTAATGATATTTATCTTTGTTTGTAGGTCCTGTCTAATTGATTGTGTGAGAGATTGGGAATGGAACTCTGCCATTACACTACCATCTGCAAAATAATTGCTATGTT